TTAGGGCTCCCAGTGCCACCGGCTGTGCCGCGGTGACAGCGGCAGCTCTCTCCAGACAGGGATTAAGTCTGTCCTTCACGGGCATTAGGGCACATCCACCCCCGGCTGCTGCAGGTACGTTTGGGTTCAGCCCCGGGGGGGACACCTGGGCTGTCCCCAGGAGGAACAGGAGGATCCCCGTGCCTGGGAGGAGGCAGGAAAACGGCCACAGGAGCTCCCTGTCCTGCCGTGGGGCTTCACTTCGGGACAAGTGACAGAGAGATGCCGTTTCCCCGGGTTTTGGTACCTCTCCATGGGGATATGCCAGCGTGGGGGAGCTGGGGGAAGGTTTGGCCCCTCCAGGCAGTGGAATTTGGGTGACCTTTAGAGCCCTGGTGTGGTGACAGGCGTGTGTTCTTTGAGAGGACAAGGGGGGTTGTGAGGCTCTTCCTCACTGTGACGGTCCCTCCCTTGTTCTGGTAGGAAATAATGCAAACCAAGAACGCGACGTTTCCGCTCCTCTGCCCTCTTTCATGCTCAGAAAAACGGGACTCTGTGGGCTTTAAAAAGGGGTTTATACACCAGGAATTCCTCCCTCCTGGAGTGCAGACACCCCTTGCCAAGTTCCAGTCTGAGGCCATTCTGGCCTCCTCCAAACCTCCCCAGACGAGATGCAAAACATCCATCCCTTGCCCAGGACGGGGGTTAAAGGGGGTCTGGGGACCCCCTGTGTCCCAAACAGGCACAGACGTGCAAGGAGGGCTTTAATCCCCTTCCCAGGCAAGTGATTTTTGGGACACAGGGAGGGAGGGTTGTCCCCCTTCGCTCAGGGGCCGTGGGGATGGAGGTGTGGGGTTTAGAGCCCCCCCCAACCCACCTGCTCTGCCCAGGGTTGACAGGGCAGTGAAGGCAGAGTGACAGCAGCCCTGTCCCCCCCTCCCTGTCACCCAGCCAGCCCCGGGGCGGAGGATGCTCTGTCTCCTCTGCTGTCACCACTGATAAACCCGGGAGCGAGGATGGATCCGTGCTGGCCTTGACTGTGCCGCTGTTTCTCAGCCTCACACGTGTAATGAGTTGGGTGGTCTCAGCCTCACACCTCCGTCTATCCCACAGGGATGGGATCACTGCCTGCAGGCAGGATCAGGGATCAGGAGCTGAGGGCAGGGACAGGCAGACACACCCCCTCCTGCCTGCAGGCCAAGCAGAGACCTGGCAGCACTCATCACTGCTGTGAGCATCCCCTCCCTCAGCCGAGCACCTCCACCCTGAGCCACAATTTGGGACAGCCCTGACTGAGATCTGGAGGGCAGGAGGGGGGCTGAGGGCAGAGCAGAGTTCAGGGGTGCAAGACTGTTTCTTGTTGAGGCTTTTCGATTTCTTTTTTAGCTCCTTTTCCAATTACTTTGTTGCAAAATCCCAGCTTTCAAAGAGCAAAACTTTTAAAAAATAATAAATATTGGGATTGTTTGTATTTGCTTTGTGGCTCCTGTTCATGGAACCACATTATTTTTCAAGCTTTTCTGTGCTCCCAAAACAGTGAGAAACTCACTTAAAGGGGGAAGAAAAAAACAACAAACAAAAGCCAAGATTTTTCTCTCTCACCACCATGACCATCAGTGGAGGGACTTTCTGGGAAAGCAGCAAATGTGGCTGGATTTGGAAGTGGCTCCTGCAGACTGTGGCTGCTGTGGGCAGTGCAGCCTCAGCACCACTGCTCAGAAATGGGGTGACAGCCAATGGTGTGTGGGTTGGGCATGGCCTTCTTCAACCCCCCCCCAAAAAAGACCCAAAATATCCAGTATGGGGTTAAAGAACCACCAGAACCGGGTGGGAAATGTTTTAATTTGCAAGAAAACAGGACCCACAATCTCCTTTTTCCCCCCACCAGCCCTCTGGGACCCCCAGGGGGGGTGTTTGGGCTCCTCATCACTCTGGGATGCTGAGGAGTTTGAGGTGGGATGGGAGGCACTTTGGTGGGGATCTCCAGGCCCCATCTCCAGATTGGGATGTGATTCAGGGTTTAGGACTAGAAACATCCCAGCTCAGAGAGGGGCTAAAGCCCAAAATCACTCTTCAGCTGTGTTAGTGCAGGGCCTGAGGCCTCCCATGGGCAGCCCTGGTGGCAGGAGAAGCTGTGGAGCATCTCCAGGTGTGGAGAATGGAGTTATCCAGTCGGGGAAAACCTCATGCAAACAGCCCAGGAGGTTTGCAAAACCCTAAGGGATGATTTGGGGTTTGCTCCCCGCCTGGAACACCCCAAAGATGCAGGAGCTTGGGCTAGGAGTGAGTTGCAAGGATGATGCCCAAGGACCTTGAACCAGGTGGCACTGGAAAATAACCCCCAAACCCCCACTAATATCCCCAAAAATTGCAGATCTGAGGCTTGGGAGTGGATTAGGGGACTTTTCCTGGAGCATGCAGGTGGCATGGGTAGGTTTGCTGC